CCACTGATCGATGCCCTTGTACAGTACTGTAATTATATATCTTGATGAACACACTTTTTTGTATACAGTATTTCTTATAAGAAATGTTTTGTTTCATATTGGAGAACAGGAGGAGATTAGCATGATGGAACCAGTCACACCTAGTGTCACCATCGACATAACTGAAACACGGCCAGCAACTCATGCTCTCTTGGACTCGGAAGAGACACCAGACATAGTAGAAGCGGATGCAACACATGTTTTGGATATGTCCAGCAGCCGTGCATTGAGTGAGACCAGTGTTATAGACACCCAAGCAACAATCTCTGAAATCATGCGACTCATGGAATCGGATCCATTTGATGCTGACCAAGTAAGTCCATATTGATTGTATCGTCTGAATTTTAATAGTTACATATGTGAGGTCTCACCACGAAATGAGACACATCGTTGGTGAAATCATTTTGAGATATTCACCAAAATAGGTCAAAGGCAACATTTTTACAAAATTTTGATTTTAATGTTTTTGAATAACTTGATGCTTACATTTTATGATTGTCCTATTATTTGTACAGGTTAGTTTATCTTTGAGGCCGATTTTCTCAAAAACCTGGTTCTCATACACCTAAACTTTAAATGCTAACATCTCTGGATCTATTTATCCTAGGGAAGCCATTCAAAGACCAAATTAAAGCTAATAATGTGATCTACCAAAATGTAATTTTAACTAATTTTTTGATTTTCTAACGATGAGACTCATTTTGTAGTGAGACCTCGCATATGGCACCATTGGGTTTCCTTAATTGTGTGGGGGACATCGCTTTGGCCACAAATAATAAAGGGATAATGTATTTCAAATTTATAGCCATCCTTATTAAAGGAATACTTTTTTTGTGTCAAAGGTATCATCTTACCGAGGGCTCTACTGTACAATAATACTGTGTAAAAATCCATTTTAATGATGAAATCTCCCACACTCCCCCAAGCAAGCAAGAATCTCCCGAAAATTAACCCATCTCATAAAATTCATAATTTAGCATGTTTTCACTGCTTTATTATAAATTTTCCCACAGAAGTCGGTGCAGATGGGTGTGACTATGTACATCAAAATAAAATTAAAGTGTTAAGAAAGCTTACTATTACCATTATTAGCCAGGTAACAGATAGAGTAGATAAAAAATTATCTTCAAATTTAAGTGTGAGATGGCCTTTTCCGGCCATCTATAGGTGCCTAAATCATAAATTTTCTTACCTCTCCTCCAACCATGGTAGCTGAGGTGTTGACCATCCATCTGACACACTATCAAGTTATCTCTGACTCATCTGTGATTCGCCTATGGGCATGATAGAATTCATATGTTCCAACTCGCCCGCTTTGATTAAGGTCCCCACAAATTTTCATTTAAAAAAAAATTCTCCTGAATTTTGTCAAATTCTCCCAAATTTTCAGAAAAGAACCCAAAATACAAAAAACAACTAATTAGTGGCTTTTTAGTACCAGTAATTGAGTATTTTTGTGTCAATTTTTCCTTTGTCCGCCAACTTTATAACAATGTGTACAAAGGCTTTCTGAGTGTTACTGACACCTTGAGACATCTTGGGGGTGTGGACGCACTACACCACAATAGTAAATCATTCTTAAGAATGTAGAAAATATAAATTATCACCATAGAATATAATTGAAAAAAAAAAACATAAAAAAACCCCAAATTTATATTAACAGCTTATTTTCTGAGACTAATAGAAGTTGAGTGGTCTGCTAATGTCAACCTACAAATCAACATCCTAATCAATTATAAACATAAATTATTATTTATATAGAAAAATACTTTTTAATATAAGAAATTATAAATGAAAAGGTACAATTAAATACAGTAGAACCTCGATTTTACATACGGTACAGGACCGGAGGGCATACGTAAATCGGGGATTCGTAAAATTGAGGGTGGGTTAAATTTGTGGTAACCTTTGACCTAATACGTACGTAACGCTCAATAAACGTATGTTATGAACGAACGATGTTACCTAGGCTAGACCTAGCCTCTAGGCCTGCCTACGAATAAAACCATGTGTTTAGTGTTTTTATTCATCACTTTACGATGTCATAATAAAGTGTTCAAATAAAACCATGTGTCTAGTGTATTAATTCATCACTTTATATCTTTTATTTAACTAAAGAACATGAAAATATTGTAAGATTACCTATACAACAAAGGTATAATTTGGGAATTCCCCTTCATGGCTATTCTAAACCACAGAACTGTGGTGTTTGGGCCTGCAGAGACAAACTAAAACCATGTGCGCTGCACTGGGTGAGCCAACCAATTAGCGTTCATGTACGTGAAACAACAACCATGTGCACTGCACTGGCCGAGCCAACCAATGCCTACTCAGCTTCGTGTAGAAAATTCGACCAGACGAGTTTTCCACACAAAGCTAAGGAGGAAAGCAATTATTTTGAGCACCATTGGTAGTTGTTCATTTAGCTCACTAAGTTCACATGGTTTTAGATTATAACAACCCGGTATTAGACTCAATCAACGTTGCTGTTTAATGAAAATACGTTGCATTATGGTTTGTTTATTGTTATAGTTTATTGTTATCGTCTTTTAACTTATGCTTGCTCTGAAAAGGGCCGTTTGTTTTGAATATTTTCGGGGGTTTTGATGACGTCATCGTCAATACGAAGCATACGTAAAACCGAGGGTTCGTATAACTGGGGTACGTAAAAACAAGGTTCTACTGTACATGCAATATCAATCTCAATCTAATATAATTTATCATTCTTTCCCTTAGGCTGAACTTCGATTTTTACATTCTAAGCCAACATGCTTCATAGTCTTGGGCAAGCCAGGGGCTGGCAAGACCACCTTGGCAAATAAACTTGCCCAGACATGGCACTGTCAACTACTGCATGCCACAGACTTGATCCTTCTGCACATTGAGCTTCAAACAGAAACTGGTATCAAGATGCAAGAGATTCTGTTGAAAGGAGAAGCGTTACCAGAGGCTATGGTTGCTAAGATGATTGAGGACAAAATAAACTCCCCAGAAGTGGCTCATCATGGTATGTGTATTATTCTTTGTATGTTAAAAAAAAAGGACTCCTGACACTTAAAAGCAGAAATAGGGAGCTCTTTTATAAAAAAATGTTTAATGAGACACAAGCATTTGATTCGGAGCATCGTTGATTTCGGAGCAGGTGGGCCGGGTGGCTCGGAGGTTTTCGCCGGAATGCGGGCCGCTTCGGCGGTCCCGGATCCTCCGGTTCCTGCCCCTCCTGTCCCTGGGGATGGGTTCCGGGTGGCCGGCGAGTCGCCTATGGACGACTCGTCCGAGCATCTTGAGTCGGAATCCGAGGACATTGTCCTCGGCTCCGATCTCTCTCAGCTCGTGGCCCGGGCGATGCCGCCCATCCTTGGTCATTTGGGGGTCTCTTATGAGACTCCGTGCCGGGGTGGTTTTGGGGCGGGTCTGTGGGGACCGCCGGCTCCTGCCCGTCCCGCCC